GTGGGATGGGAAAGCCCTTAAAAAAGGGTTCCGGGGGAAAGTTAAACCCAATGGCCCCAATTCTGTTCAATTCCAACCACTGCTTTGGGGCCCCCCCCCCCGCCCTGATTTGAGCTGGGCTGACTCAAGCATTGCAAAGCAGTGCCTGGCCAGGCAATCACCAGAAACGTACTTTCTTACATTTCTCCCAAGCATCTGCTGACTAAAGGACAAAGCATCTATAGTATGGGGGGATGCTACCAGGTTCAAGAGCCAAGCTCTTGACCATTTGAGAGTAGATCTCTCAGGGACTGTTTTGAAAACTTGAGAATTTTCTTTTTAAAAGCGTACTGCACAAAACTAGGTACAATCTCCTCCCTCCTCGAGCATTATTCTTCATAAAATAACCTCTCATCTCCATAGAATATGCTCTCTAGGCAAAACCAGCACACAATTCCTTTTGGATTAGAAATCAAACAGAGCTGTGAACAGAAGAGTTGCTCTGGGCTGTCTTTAAATTACAAACCTGAAACCACTTCTTAGCTATTGGTGTGGTGCAGTATCAGAAAGGCAGGTGTAACACAGTTTCTTGAATCATGCCCTCCAGAAGTGATGTACTATATTATCACTCCCATCTTTCTACTTGGGATCAGCTATGTTGCTGGGAGATGCAAGCTGTAGCCCAAAATGGTTTGAGGATGCTAGTTAGGAAAAGTCAGGGAATCGCTAGCACAAAGGGCTTCATTTGAGCTGGGGCTTTCTTGGACTTAGAACCTGTTTTAACACTAAAATCATTTTAATTATTTATAATTAAATAATTATATATAAAATACATATAAAATAATTACAATTATTTTAATGGTAAAATAGAATGCTAAAAATGAGCTGCATCGGGTGCTGGTTTAAGACCTGGCTTTGCAAACTAGCATGGGGATCCAGTGGGGGCTCTCGGCACTGAGGTTGGCTGGTGACTCGAGGATGCTCTCTCCATCTTTTAACTTTACTGTGTATTTTTTAAACTCTTTTTATGCTTTTTATGTACGATCCTCCAAGAGTCACTTACATAGTGAGATGGGCAGCGTATAAATTTGATTTATAAATAAATAAATAAAATGCAGTCCTCCAGTAAGGAAAAAGGCACACACACAAATCAAAACAGAAAACCAAGGGCAGAGTAGGTGGCATTATTTCACCACTGAATAATCACACTTCCTTTTTCTCACAGAAATGGAACTGAGGGTCAAATTACTAATTTTTCAGTGAATGTACCATTAACCCTCTTAATGTTAGCTTTTTTTAAAACTTCAAGCTAGGAGCATACAACTTCTGTTGGCTCAAGGGCATACCAGATTTTGCACAGCATGTTGACGGCCCCACTCCAAAATGGGGTGCCCTAAGACCAATTTTGGGTGGAGGTTTCTGGGGCAAAAGGGGTAAAATGGGGCTATAAGCCTCCGTCAAGGTAAAGGTACCCCTTTCACCCCTTAATCCTCCCCCGAGGTTTAAGAGGAAAAGCACCTTAGCCAAGTGCAGGGCTTTATGGACTATAGGAAGGATGCTGTTGGTTGATGGTGGTTCTTGGGCCATACTTTTTGCATCCCTGCTTTAATTAATTGAGCACTACACTGGCCTTATCATGAGGGAGCATTTATGCAACATGTTTATCTGGAGATGTTGTTAAAAATCCAGGAGTCCTGAATTTCAGGCTGTAGCTTCTAAGAATACCAAAACTTTTATCTCATTTTAAAAGTCCAGCATCTCAAAAGGTCACTTCTAGCTTTCTGAAATTCACTGGAAAGAGAAATCTCTTCCTGCACTGTCTTCCTCTCCCATGTTCACAAATGAAGGCTTTAGAAGCAGATGGATAAGGTGTGTATAATTTTGGAGGGCAGAATTAAGTATTTAAAAATATACATTCCTGAGTCCTCGTAGGTTTCATTCCAGCAGGATTATGATAATGGGGGTATTTGAAAAAGATGTTTACTGAAAGGTTTCTCCCACTCACTAGCCTTTTTCAAGTTGATGCCATCTTTGATATGTTAAGCTAAAACATGTATAATTTCCAGCCTACACGGATGTTATCCAGCAGATTTGGGAGGGGACCAGCTTAGAAAAACCTGCTCTAAACTAGGCAATAATTTCAGCTGAAGCCAAAATGACAGCCCAGCAAGAGTTTGATTGCAGGAGAGAACTGGGAGCAGAGCTTAAGTATTCCTTTTTCTCTCCTAGTATTGCCTCTCTCTCAACAACCTTCTTGTTATCTCAGCAAAGGCTGGTTAACCTACTACTGTAGACTGTAAAACTGTACAAGACCTGACCAATTTAAAATGAAGTAAGCACACATACTGTCTTCTACTTCTCGTAATGTGAAAGCACTTAATATAAATTATGAAGTAACACCATCTTCACTGTAAAAACACATTTTTTGCAAAATGCATCTGGAAAGATGTTTTTATCAATTGCATTTGTCAAACTAATAGATGTTATACTTCTTTTGGTCTCAAAGCTGATCCAGCGTAAAATTTTCTTTGATCCGACTGATGGAAGTTAGAAGTGTTAGGAGCACAATTCTGCCTAAGAGCCTTGTTCTCTATGTCCTTCAGCCTAGATATGAGTTGTCTGGCTGGAGTGATCATGTGCTTAGAAAAGCACATTATGCATAAGTTCAATTTTGCCTATAGAAGCTAAGGAAATTTAGAGAGGATAAATGGGGAAATAGGTTTTTAAAAAAAAAAACAGCATAAAATCATACTGAAAAGAGTTTATTAATCATATGCAGCTGCATTTTATTCTTGCAACAATCTTTGTTTTTTAAATTACTCTTTACTGTGCAAGTGGAACCTGGTCCTTGAAAAGTTAATTTGGGGGCTCTACCTCAATTCAAACTCTTGCCAAAGCATAAGCCAAGCACCAGATCTAGACCTTTGATGGTTGCGTCTTGAAGTGGGAAGTATTCAGAAAAGAAGCATCTGCAATTTTACAGCCACTCATGGTCCTCTCACTGCATGAATCGCTCTGTCCCTTTACCTTTCTCTCCAAACATAAAATCAAAGCAGCTTAATCCTCTTTGGCAAAGCTGCATCCAATACTTTGTTCCTAAAATGAACTGTGCCAAAGCTTCATCCTACCTGGGAGTAAGCTGTACTCCGCTCTTAAGGAGCTAGGGAGCTGGTTGTGGAATATACTTTAAAAAAAAAAAAAAGGAAAAACAGGTAGAGACTGCCATCACTAGAACAAGTGAAGGAGTCAAGAGGATATAAGCAGTTGCAGCTGCCTTTTCCTCATTTTACCTGTTCATGTAATCTGCAAATGCATGAGAAGAGTATGTGATGGTATCTGTAGTGCCTTGAGCAGAGCTTTGCTGGAGGTTAAATGCTGCTGCTCTTTCCAGGAAAGACCATTTTATGCTTGCTCTTTCCCAAAGAAACTGGCAGGCTCCTTCATACTCCAGTTGCCCTACCAATATATTGAAGAAGACAAAAATGCCTTGCCCAAGTCTGCAGACAATCTGTTTAATAATTTAAGCTTTGTTTTCTGCAAAAAACAGGAGCCTCTGGAAAGAGCCCAAGAAGATATTTTTTAAAAAGATAAACTAAGCATGAAAGGATTGCTGAACCCACGGAGCCCAACCCACTACTTTAAAAGACATTTCTCCCTCCCCAATCTGGACAGATTCCTACCCTCTTTAGGGCAATAGGAGAGTAGCCATGATAAATATGTAGATGCTCAACAATCCACAAGTCCAACAATTAAAAACCACCAAGTAAGAAACTGAAGTCTATGTAGTGTTGCTTCATAAGCTGCCATGAATCATGCTTGGAATGGTCACCAATTTTTGTCCAGTTATCTCTCAGCGCTTCTTCTTACCATTGCGAAGGAGTTTTTTGCGTTTGAGAATCATTTCATACAGTTTTTCCAGGCCTGGCTGGAGGCCTAGTCCACTGATGGCACTGCAACCTTGGATGTGGCTCAAGGTAAAAGTGTATAGTTCATGTAAGCCAAGACGTTTCTCCACCTCAGCTACAGGGAGTGCCTGGGCCACATCCTGTTTGTTGGCCAGGACTAACACAGGGATTCCCTGGTTGTCCGAGGAGTGAGCAATTCTGTGCAACTCAACTCGAGCCTCTTCCAAACGTTCAACCTCTGCTGAGTCCACCACAAAAACAACCCCATCCGTACGGCGCATGTAGGATTTCCAGAGAGGACGCAGCTTTTCCTGGCCACCCACATCCCATACTTGGAACGTGATGATGCGAGAGCCTCCCAGTGGCACCCGGATTTTCTCCATGTTGAAACCCTTGGTAGGTGCACTCTTGACAAACTCCTGAAACTTCAGGCGGTAAAGCAGTGATGTTTTGCCAGCTGTATCTAATCCAACTACGACCACATGCAGGGCCTGCAAGTGGGGCAGGAAAGGAGGCACGGGTGCCAGCTGGTTCCCCATCGTCATTGAATTGGCACCAATCTTGAAAACCACCAGTGGATGGATGATCACTGCTCACGGCAGCTAAGAAACTGGGGCAACAAGACAGAGTTAGAGTTAACACTTGGTTAAATCCATGAAAGCATACAGTATTTGTATTGCTCTAGCCATCCATGGATTATGCCTAAAGATACAATGTTCTCAGTGATTAAGAACAAAATTGAAGTCTGTCGTGTTTTCTTCAGGACCTATACCATATATGAACCTGCTCTTCAGATATCCAAAATAAATCTTCTAAATTAACAGATCTCTGAAATACCACAAGCCAAACCTTACGCTGACATATAAGAAAGAAAGCCCACCTACTTTCTTTCAATAGAAAAGCTACTGAGGCATTCCTTTGTGACATAAAGCAGACAAAAAGGGGATGCTGAAATCCCAGATTCTGCTGAAAACTCCTCTTCTAGACTACGCCCATATTAAGATCTCTCTTTACAATGTACTATTTGATTAAAGAATCTTGTGATCTCCAAAACTTGTACATTTTCTTTTGAGTTGGCCTAATAAAATTATTAGCTTAAAACAAAGTTTAGAATTTGTGTTATGACTAACATAATTAACCTTTACATTTTGTATTATAGGATTCTTTCCATTTATTTATTCAAAATATATACATACACTTTTTTTTAACAAACAAAAAGTGTTTTGGCACCTTAAATTCTAACAAATGCATTACCACATCAGCTTGAGTCCATTCTGATCAAGTGGACTGGGACTTATGAAAAATGTTATTACTACATAAAGTTTAATGGGTCTTAATCCATTTAATTCAAGTGGGGTTCAGTTTATGTAGTAAAATGTCATTAGAATACCAAAAAGTATTTTTATTTTGTTTACTGTACTGTTCTAAAGGACTAACAAACAACCCCCCCCCATTCATATAAAGGCCAGAAAAGAAAAGTTAATGATCAACCAAAATTAAGTGTCCACCCCCCACCCCAATTTTGGACAACTCATAAAAAAGAAAAGGTATTTCTTGGCACATACTGAGGCTTGTCTGATGGAAGCTAACCTGGTTCATCATGATAGAAAAGCTCAGAGTTGGATGAGGAGGGTATTTTCTCCAGTTTACTCCCCTATATCTTCAGATTACTTGACAAGGATAAATATAAATAGGCATCATGGCTTAGCTAAGATCTGCTGCCAAAGATTCCCTGAAACCACGAATCAATTTTCACCCAGAGGAATTTCTCTGTCGGTCTTCAAAGTGCTAATGATTACAGAAAGACAAGCACAAAATTTATTACAAAATAAATTGTAATATCTGCTCAATTTCTTAGAATGAGAGGCATCAGCAACATTCAAATCTAAGGTTGTGTCATGCTTTCTACTATGACAGCCACTGCATTATTGCTCTTAACAGAAAGCAATGACCATCACATATAGGAGGAAAGGATATTTGCAAATGATCACAAGAATAATTCCCCCCTTTCTTCTTAAACCCAGCTGGACCTGGACATTATAACCAGACTGAGGTATGCATGTTCAATGCCCCACGGCTCAAATCTAGCCCCTTGGGCTCCCCCAAGTGTACATGGAAAGAGTAAGACTTGTTCCCAAGAGCAGGCTAGGAAGCAGACAGATTTTAGGCTTCCTGAACCTACCTGATGCCTTGATACAGCAGAATACTTAGCTCTGCCAGCTGCAGGCGGTGCAAGATAGTAACTTAAAAACGTGGACCGGCAAATATTCAACCCACAAAAGCATCAGAGATGGAGCCTGCACACAAAGTTACTCCAATTTTCTATGAAGATTTTTTATTTTATT